GGAGACTTCTGAAGAGGTACCCGCCCAGCCCGGGAGCCGGCAGCCAGCGGGGGGAGGCAGGTGTCACCCATCTTCCTGAGGAGTTTCCTCTCCTCTGGGAAGTCAGAGCGGTCCGTGGGGTAGGACCCAGGGCCTGCAGATCCAACAGGGCCTGGTCTGGCTCCTCTTCAAGGCCATGGCGGCTCCCACGGCGTCCTGAATCTCACCCCCTCCCTGTGGGCAAGGCTCTGGCGCGTCCTGGAGGAGAACCAGCCACCATGCTGGGTGTGCGTCTTTAAGAGCCGCTGGGCACCCTCAGGCTTCTCCTTAGCCAGGTCGCGGAAGGAGGGGCCCACGCCCTCCAGCCCCCAGGGGATGCAGAGGGGCCCCTCAAAGGCCTCTGGGCTCCACGGGCTCCCAGTTGTGCTTGAGGGGGAGACTTCTGAAGAGGTACCCCCCAGCCCGGGAGCCGGCAGCCGGCAGCCAGCGGGGGGAGGCAGGTGTCACCCATCTTCCTGAGGAGTTTCCTCTCCTCTGGGAAGTCAGAGCGGTCCGTGGGGTAGGACCCAGGGCCTGGTCTGGCTCCTCTCCAAGGCCATGGCAGCTCCCACGGCGTCCTGAATCTCACCCCCTCCCTGTGGGCAAGGCTCTGGCGCGTCCTGGAGGAGAACCAGCCACCATGCTGGGTGTGCGTCTTTAAGAGCCGCTGGGCACCCTCAGGCTTCTCCTTAGCCAGCTCGCGGAAGGAGGGGCCCACGCCCTCCAGAGCCACAGCATCGAGGTGGAGGTGGCCTGCAGATGCAGGTTGACCAGGCGGCTGAGGGCAGTCTCCACTCGGTGCAATAATTCTTATGAATCTGGGAGCTCATGGTTGTTCCCGTAACTCGCAATAAGGAGTTAAGGACAAAAAAACCCACGAAGTTTATCCTTGGCTGGCGTGGCTCAGTGGTTGAGTGTCGACCCATGAACCAGACCATGGTTCGATTCCCGGTCAGGGCACACGCCTGGGTTGTTGTGGGCTTGGTCTCTGTGTGTGACATGCAGGAGGCAGCCAATCAATGATTCTCTCATCACTGATGTTTCTATTTCTCTCTCCCTGTCCCTTCCTCCCCGAAATCTATAAAAATATATTTAAAAAACAAGCTTATGAAAACAAAGTTATTGATCAGCTTACTATGAGATCACTGCTAGGCGACAAAATGCCCAGGAGAGAAGAAACCTTCCGCCCCAGCCCGGAGAGCACGCCTTGGCCCTGGGGCAGGGCCCGCTGATGGATCCTCCCCAAGTTCTCAGGCATCAGGCGGATCAGCTGGCTCCCTGACGCGGCCAGAATAAAACTTCCTCCCTGGGAACAAATACTGTGCAGTTAGTTCAGGGAAGCGCCTGACACCGAGATAAAGAAAATTAACACAAAATGCTTCAATAGAAGGAAAAATCACCTATCCCTTCACAAGAAATCTCCGAGGATAAAAAGGAACGCTGCTAGTAAAATAACTCACATATGAATCTATTCACTTAAGACTATTAATTCTACGTGGAAAAACTGTTGTTGCAGTTTTGTTTCTTAAATTGCCTATTTTTTCTGATCTTTAAATTACAGGTTCGCCACATTGCAGGTTAAACAAATCGAGCGTCAGATTTTATTTCTTTGGTAAACCTGCAGAGCGTACAGTAGCAAACCATTCTGCATAGTGTCAGAGTTTTCACGTCACTCGTGTGAAATGATCCTGAAAGAAATGACCACTAGCTACCCTCCAGTATTGACGTTTCAGAGGCCCATGAGAAGTCCTTTCTTTCTCTAACTGTTCAGATCACAGACCCTTCCTTCCTTCTCGTCTCTCTTTTATCGTTCCCTGCATGGCCCACTTAAAACCCAGAATATTTAGTCATCCCAATCTCCCTTCTAAGCCACGTGACAGCTTTCCAATACAGATAGAAGGATATCCATCGTATACGATACCTGCACCGCTGTTAGGAAATTGTAAGTCCTATCACCTCCCGAATCTACGCAAGTCTCTGTGTAGGCATCCTCCCGAGCAAGACTTGGCCAATAGCGAACGGATCCTTCTCTGGTGGCAGCCATGACAGCAACAGACTGAAAACAAGATCCCCACACTCAGCAACCACGGGAAAAGGAGGACGCAAGAACTGGGAGTCTGATGAAACGGATATTAAAACACCAGGGCAAGCTACTATCTGATTAGGAAAGATCAGAAATAGAAACTCCTTTTTATATTGAAAAAAATCATACAGTAAAATTGACTTTTTCCTTTGGTTGTACAATTGCATGAAATTTAACATACCCCTTATTTGAAAAAAAATGATTTCAAGAAGCATTGAAGTCACCTACCTGAGTAGAATGCGCTTCACCCGAGGTAGCCGAGTAAGAGAGAGCCACCAGGTCCGCACTCTGCTGGAAGTCACTGGGCGGCAGCTGAAGTTCTTTGCAAACAGATAACTGTGGACAAAGCCCAACCAAAGACCTTTCACAGCAAGTCCACCTTTTTGAATATGCATCTGACTTCACCACTTTCTTTCTCTGCATATTTTACATCCTATTTCATTGCTGGAAACAGCACTCTACAAATATTCTTTCTTCTCAGAATTTTTGATCAGGCTTCCGGTAGTTTTAAAACAAAGTTTCTTAAGAGATATAAAATCAGGAAAACTTCAAAACTAGACCGCACTCTGAATATCAACCAAACCAATCTCTTCCCGGACCGGAAAGAGTATTGTGGTTCAGAGAGAAGTACACGCTCAGTATTTCATATCACTACGCACATGCAAATCCCCTCATGCTTGCATAGCTTCAGACTCTCCTCCCAACAATTCGAAGAATTTAGGTTAAAAATGAAGGGCCAATTGGTTCCCTCTCCTCTATCTCCTTTCAACTCTCCAAAGAGCCATTACCTTGGAAATGGGGGACAGAGTAATCTTCCAGATAATGAGCTTGTCTCTGCAGACCAGACAAGCCCATCCACCTTCATCTATGCGAACAGTCAGCTGATCATCATCTAAACAAAAATATGAGGGGAAAGAAAATGAGGTACATAGTGCATCTTAGTGTCTGAAAAAGAGCAACTGTTAACATTTCCTTACACCAAAATCTTCACTGCCACACTCTTCACCACAAAAATTACCGCTCATTAAAGAGAGTAATTTACAACAAAAAATACTCTTGTATATCATGCAGGAGTTACCAATATCCAAAACAAGAGATCCATTTTACTCCGATAACCACTTTTAGAAATATACCTGAAGACAAAAAGTATATGTTGGACCTAGGTTTAACATTTCTTAATTTTTGTTTGTTAATAAACAGATATCTTACTTTCTGTAATACTATTATAGTCAAGATGTGCAAGTTCAAGTTGATGAGAAATATTCCGTCTTCTAGAACGGAGTACTTACTTTAAACTTTTCTGTCCTTCACAGTATGAATACACTTTACATCATGATGCATTCGTCAACAACGTAAATAAAATAAAACAAAACTTACTTAACATTATATGAGATGCAGTCTGATAGTCTAGATTCTACTTTATTTTTTAAAAAATGCTGGTTATGAAACACTAAACTGATCTCAGTCACCACCTATAGTTTGAAAAACAACATTCCAGAAAATCACAAAGATCTAGAATTAAATTCTTAAAAAAAAAATTACACACACACACACACCCACACACATATATCTGTATTGACTGATTTCAGAGAGGAAAGGAGTGGGAGAGAGAGATAGAAATACCAATGATGAAAGAGAAGCATTGATCAGCTGCCTCCTGCACGCCCCACACTGGGGATCGAACCCACAACTGGGAACTGAACCATGACCTCCTGGTTCACAGGTCGGTGCTCAATCAGTGGGCCACACCGGCCGGGCCTCAACTAACTTTTGAAATTGGACTGAGTTTTGCATTTGCCGTACTTACAACCATTAAAGATTTGACTGCTGGAATGAAGTTCTGCTTCTAAAAATTTATTATACTTCTCAGTTACAGTGAAAAAGCAAACAGGTCGCCCCTGTCCGCCCCTTTAGGGGGAGGGCCGGCAGAGAAAGCACCCATTTCAAGCTCCAGGCTAGAGCGAGGCTTCCGGTGAACGGCCATGAGCGGCAAACGGAAGCTGACACCCACCTTCAGCCAACGCCAGGACTTCCATGACTTTCACGGGGAGGGACGATCCGAACGCCTTCACGTCGTAGTTCATGGTCTCGGTTATGGAGTGATGCGGGAACATGCGCGTGGGTGTTCCCCTACAGGAGAGAGGCCGCATTCCTTCACCATAACGTACGCTGCCCATCACCCTGATGTTTACGTGTCTATTTCCCCAGTAAAGAGGAGAGCTTTGATGAATAGGAAATATGAAGTGGGACAGTGAAAAGCAACTCTGGCTCATGTATTCATGTCACTAAATGTATTTTTCATTAAAGACTGACGGGATTTAGGAGCCCTGGGCCTTACACTTTTATACTCTAGTTACTGGATGCACGTGCCATTCACCTAAACTCTTTATAACTCTGCCTCCTCAGCATTGAATACTCTCCCTGAAAAAGCAATGGGAAAAATATCCACGGAGGATTAACCAAAAAGAAATTAAATGGGTCACACGTAGCTGCAGCTACCTGCCAATCCATATAGCCGATACAGCCAGAGAAATGTTATTTTCTTCTCACCTTCGTTTTAACATTCAGAAAAATAATGGAGAATAGCCAGTTTAAAAGTTATTCTCTCTCTTATCATAGGAAGATTAAGCAAGGAGACTCAAATACAGAGTGGCCCAGAGCTCTGTTGACCAACAGGGTAGTACAACAAAGATGTTTCTTTAAAGGACCATCCAACTGTCCTGGCCGGTTTGGCTCAGTGGACAGAGCGTCGGCCTGCAGGCTGAAGGATCCCGGGTTCGGTTCCCGGTCAAGGGCACAGGCCCTGGTGCGGGCTCCATCCCCAGTGCAGGTGCGTCCAGGAGGCAGCCGATCCATGAGTCTCTCTCATCATGGATGCTTCTCTCCCTTCCTCTCTGAAGTCAATAAAAATACATTTTTTAAAAAAGGATCAGCCGAAACCGGTTTGGCTCAGTGGATAGAGCGTCGGCCTGCGGACTGAAGGGTCCCAGGTTCGATTCCGGTCAAGGGCATGTACCTGGGTTGCGGGCACATCCCCAGTGGGAGGTGTGCAGGAGGCAGCTGATCGATGTTTCTCTCTCATCGATGTTTCTAGCTCTCTATCTCTCTCCCTTCCTCTCTGTAAAAAATCAATGAAATATATTTAAAAAAAATAAAAAAGGATCAGCAAATTCCATTCCAGTCAAGGGCCTCCTCCTAAAGCCCTAGATTAATCCCGAAAGGGGGCGTGGTGCGGACGGGGGCGCCAAGCCTTCACCTGGTGGCAAAGCTGTTCTCACCTCCCTGCCTATTAATTTAGCTGCAGGGGAACGTGTGTCGCTAAGAGCCCTTTACAATCCCGATGGGCAGTGAGCGTGTCAGGTGCCACACAATGACTGGGGGCCTCGATCCCACCAGCATTTTCCATCCGGATCCCCGTTTCGTACTGACGCCTCCGGGCCGGAGGGGGAGGGAGAGGCGACGGCTCAGCGCAGGTGCCACCGTCCCCGTCTCTTCCCCGAAGCCAGAGCTCCCACCAGGTCCCAGGGCTGGGAGGGAGGGCGGTCACCGGCGGTGCGAACGCACCCTCCCTCCCTCCGCACGGAGCTAACCCCACGGAGAGCGCGACAGCGGAGGCCCGTCCATGACAGC